TGCTGCTGTTTGTTCGTGCTTGGTGTTTTAAGTGTCACAGGTGAAATACCTCCTCTAGTGGGAGGCAGTAATTCTGTGTTCATTGTTGTCTTCAATTTAGGTGCGTACTCTGCGGGGAGAGTGCACCTCTGCACCATCTGCCTGAGGGGGATATTGTCAGAAGATCATCTACAGCCTTACAGGTGTTGTTCGTTTTACTGGGGGTCATAGATGCTGATTATGAAGGGGAAATCAGAATTATGGCCTGGACCTCTGTAGCCCCCTGTTCAGTAACAAAAGGGTCAAAAATTGCTCAGCTTGTTTATTTTTACTGCAGTTCCCCCTAATATTATAGTATGCCGAGAAGCTGCGGTGACTCAGGATTTGGATCAGCAGGTACTCCTCAAATATTTTGGGCTCAGACAGTGACACAAGGTTGATATCTGGCAAAATGTACCCTCACTAAAGCAGAAGAATCTGTTGACTGACAGACATTTTAGATACTGGTGCAGATGTGACTGTAATATCTGTGAGCAGATGGGCTGTTAACTCAGGTAACTCAAGTACTTTTCAGGGGTTGGTGCTCATGCTGTAACACTTCAAAGCAAAGATCTCATTCATGTAAGGGGCCCAGAAAACCGGGTAGCAAACATTCATCCATTTATATTGGAAACCCCTATTACATTACCAGGTCGTGACTGTATGGCTCAATGGGGAACTCAAATTGGATCAAATTTGTCTTAATCATCACTGCAGTCAGTGCAAGCCACCCTGAAAACCACCCTGAAACTAACCTGGAAAACAGAATCACCTGTGTGGGTGGATCAGTGGCCCTTGCCAAGGGAAAAGTTGCACCACCTGAATGATTTAATTCAGGAACAATTAAGTGCAGGACATATCGTATCTACCACCAGTCCTTAGAACTCCCTGGAGTTTGTTATTTTAAAGAAAAGTGGTAAATAGTGACTTTTACATGATCTCCGACACATTAATGATGCCATGGAGGATAAGGGTACTTTACAGCCAGGAATGCCCTCCCCAACAATGATTCCCTGAAACTGGCATCTTGTAATAATTGAGCTAAAGGATCAATTTTTTTTACCATTCCTTTGCATCCGGATGATGCACCTAAATTTGCCTTCTCTGTTCCCAGTATTAATATTAGTGAACTTGCAAGACAGTACCACTGGGTTGTTTTACCATAAGGCATAAAAAATAGTCCCACGATCTGTCAGTGGTTTGTTGCAAAGGCTTTGAGCCTTGTTAGAATGCAGGTCCCCCAGTCTGTTATATATCATTATATGGATGACATCCTTATAGCAGCAGAAACACAGGAGATCATGGAAAAGGCTCTTGCTTTAATCAAAGACTCGGTATCTCAAATGGGGTTACAAATAGCACCAAAAAAGGTACAGTGATCATCACTGTGGCAGTACCTGGGGTGGAGAATTTATAAACAGACCATTGTCCCGCACCAGGTTAAACTTAAAACTGATGTTAAGACTTTAAATGATTTACAGAAACTGTTGGGAGCCATAAATTGGATACGGCTGTTGTTGGGCCTAACCAATGACAATCTTGCATAGCTTGTTTGATATTTTGCGAGGAGATCCTTCACTGACATCACCCAGAGTCCTTACAGAGAAAGCGAAACAAGATCTCACCGTATAGCTAACACCATCTCAGAAAGACAAGCATCACAACGTGTGCCCAGCCATCCGTATCAACTGATATTATTTAACCCTCCAGGGCAGCCATATGCTCTGTTGTTTCAATGGGATGAAACACTTAGTGACCCTCTTGTTATTACTGAATGGATTTTTTTGTCACACCAAATGCACAAGATGGTCACTACTCGTCCAGAAATGTTTGCCAAACTGATCGTGAAAGGTGGACAGCGCCTACTATTACTTGCTGGTCTGGAACCTGTGTGTATCATTGTTCTGGTTACTATGCACACGTTAGAGTGGCTAATACAAATGTCTTCGAGCAAGCATGGCTTTCACATGCATTTTTTCTACCAAAATGCCAGGGTAATATAAAACCAGTTTTCTTTATCAAGGTGTCAGGCTAAAGACATCATTGTGACTTGCCCGGAATACAAGACAGACTCCCTCTCTTCAACAGCCAGTGGTGTCAACCCTCAGGGACTCATGTCCTCAGAATTATGGCAATCTGACATCACTCAGCTGCATTTGGAACATTAAAATATGTACATGTGTCTGTCGATGCCTTTTCTGGAGCAGTGTTTGCGTCCTGCTATACAGTGGGGAGTCAAGCATCTGACTGGAATTCCCCACTCACTGACTGGACAGGCCATCGCGGAGTATATGCCTGGCATGCTAAAGCGTCTATTACAACAACAAAATGGAGGGTATCAATCTACACCTAACGAAAGGCTAAATAAGGCATTATATGTCATGAACTTTTAAACATTACTCGTCTCACAGATGCCACCAATATTGTGTCACTTCTCATTGCAGATACTAGATCAACAAGAAGTCCAGGGCAAGGCTCAAGTGTTAGCAAAAAAACCTGAAAAGGGGTAACTGGGAAGGACCATATCCTTTAATAACCTGGGGAAGAGGTTATGCTTGTGTCTTCACAGGTCACGGTCTCCGGTGGTTACCGGCAAGGTGTGTGCAACCATACCTGAGGTGTGATGAGGCAGCTTTTGGTGGACACTCAGGAATCAGCTGTGGGTGCTATAGAAGCCCCTGTGCTGACAGTTTGAGGTCTCTTCGGCTGATCATTTAAGCAGAATGTATGAGTAATGTTTGCTACTGCAACAGGACAGAATACACTATCTCTGTCCTTAATCACACTACAGTTGCCAAATCTTTTAAGAGAAGATGCTAACAGTAGTTGCAACTCCTTAACACATATGCTTACTAGTCACTAGTGAAAGATGTAGTTTAGATGAAATGTAGTTAATAATAAGGATGGAATACTATAAGAATGTGTGTATTCAACTTCCTTTGTTTATCAATATTAAGAACTCAAGTGTTTAACCTCATTAGAAACTCCCTTGCTTTTCTCCCTTGAGTGCTGGCCAGGATTTGGGTGGAACACAAGAGGAGGATGAAATCAGATGTTTCCGCTCAAGGAAAAGTGCCAGTTATTTTGGCTTGCTGATTTAGATATATGAAGCTGGACCTGCTTGCAGCAACTTTGGATGCCTCCCCTATGGATGGACACATCACGTAGGATTTCCGATTTGCAAGGAAGGGCACTCTTAAATTCTCGCTTCATCCAGGGATCCCCAGCAATTGCGGATCTGAATGTCAGGACCCCATTAAGTGTGCTATTCTGTGTTTTCCTTACTGTTTAGTTTTGTAGTATTTAGTCATATCCTTTAATTATGGGTAGTAAAATTAGCCTACTCTTTTTAACTAGTAATTGCAACTGCTGTATTGTTTTAGCCTTCTGTGGAACTATTTTAAATATGCTATGTTTTTTGAAGTTTGCCTAACCCTTAATTAATAAAGCCTTGAAACAAGTCTTGCAGGTGCAGCTGCAAAACAAAGAAAGGGAGATGTGGGAGGCATTGGCCTGTCAGCCTTACACAGCCTCTGAGAAACAGCTAGGCTTTGATGAAGAACAGGCCTTGGAAGATAGATAAGAAACTGCTGAGTTGTGCCAAGGTGGCAGGGAAAAACAGCAGACGGACAGCTGCAACACTGAACTGTGGAAAAGTACTAAACTGTGAGAAGTTACCACCATGTGAACAGTGTGGGAAATAAGCGTGACCAACTTGGATCACTCCGGTGGCAAACCCCACAGAAATTAAGAAGCTGCTGAAAGGAAGCAGAAGACAGCATCAATCACTGTTGCAGTGTGAGCAAGGAAGTGGTCCACTCTGGATTCCAGCCAAGTGGGTCAAGCCGTGGCTTCAACTTGCCCGTATCATGCAGAATGATGTCGACCATGGAGGTGCTATAAATGCCCCTGATGCAGCTTGTGTTTTTGGACAGCAGCGAGTGTACTACAGGATACTGCAGATGACCGGAAGCGATGTCCACAGTATGAACAACTATGAACTTTGAATTCACGCTTCAACAAGTAGCAGCAAATTGGTTGCACAAACCAGAACTATTGTTAGTATCCAATGAGGCCTTAGAAGAACTTACAGAGAACTTGACACTACATTTGCAAGTTTGGCAGGTAGAGACAGGAGATTCAATGCTTGTATTGTGTGACTGAAAACAATATTGTGGAATCTCTAGTGTGTGGGGACAGTATATTTGTCCCCAGAAGTTGGAGGGTGGTTAACCATGAGTGGCAATGTCAGAAGCAACACTGGAAAAGAGGGAGGGAATGGAAGTGGGGTTTGGTATCTTTTGGCCGCACTAGGTGGAATGGGCCAAGGAATATGGGGAATTGACCTGCAGAAGAATTTCTGGGTAACCTGGGCAAATCAGTCAGGACAGGAGTCATTTTGCCTAGGTTTAGTAACTGCTACCGACCCATTTCGGACCTGTCTGATTGGTATGCCATATTTTAGTGCTCAAGACTTTGTTAAAAATATGGCAAGAATAAGTAATGGAACAGAGGATGTTAACGGGATGTGTTGGGCATTGTACAACAACACAGGACAGGCAAAGGTTGGTTGCCCACAAGCAGGCTTGCCTATGTTATAGGGGCATATTGTGAATTATCTTAACCAAACAGCCCCCCTTCCATTACAGGAGTTAGAGCTGAGAGGCTCTCTTCCCCCAGTAGCTGGGAATAACACCCAAGGTCAACCTTGGGGATGTATATGATTTGGGGGGTGGGATACATTGTGGGTTTCATGGGGTTGGGAAAATCAATCAAAATGGGAAGTTGGCAGAAAGTGATTCCTGCTGTGATACCCATAAGTGAAACATGGTTTTGTGGTGGTCCACATACTTCCAAAATGGGCTTACAGCTCGAAGAAAAAGGAATATGGAATAATGGTTCAGCTAAAAGGTTACCACCTGGATATTTTTTAATATGTGGGGATCGAGCATGGGGAGGGATCCCTGCCAAAGTAGTGGGAGGTCCGTGTTATCTGGGAAGCCTAACTCTGCCCCCAGTATAAGAAATCTCAACCTCACATGATATTGAAGATTAAAATGGGCCATAACACATCATGAACTCACCCCAGATTTCCAAGATCAAGTGGAATTGTGAGGGCCTGGAGAGATTGTCGCTGCATCTCTCTTGGCCCCAGGAGTAGGGGTTGCAAGAGCTCTATCCACTTTGAGCAAAATGGGCTGTTGGAGTGTAAAAGAATTTAATTTACATCTAATATAATAAGTAATTTGTTGACAGATGTAGATAGTGTAAGGCATGCTGTTTTGCAGAATAGAGCAGCTATAGATTTTTTGTTACTGGCACAAGGACGTGGATGTGAAGAATATGAGAACATGTATTGTATGAATCTTTCCGATCACTCTCAATCTATACTTAGTCAGCTTCAGCAATTACAAGATAATATACATAAGATTCAACAAGTTTCTTCTCCTTTGGATGAGTTTTTAGTAAGTCTAGGGTGACCAAAGTGGATTATAGAGCTTTTGAGAATGTTAGCAACACGAATAATAGTAGTGGGATTATTGATATGTTGTCTTCCTGTTTTAATGAGATGTCTGTCTTGTTGGAAAATAGCATGGAAGCTTTAATAAAAAGAAAGGGGGGAGGTGTGGGTGCATATGCTGGGTTAATGAACCTTCCGTGCACACTGACAATGAAAAAGTACAATGAGCACTTGCATGTTAAGGAAGAAACTGATAAAGAAGGGACTTTTTGGAACTGCAAAAGCAGGAACTTATCTACTGGCTATGTGCAGGTAGCAATGTTCATGGAAAGTATTGAGAGGAGCTATTTTTAGAGCGCAAAATAGCCAAACAGTATATAAGGGCTTGCTGCTATTTTTAGCATGCAGAAGAGTATATAAGGTCTTGCTCGCTAATAAAAGCTTGAGCTTGGCTTCCAATCATATTGATTGTCTGTGGTCTTGTCTCTGTGACCTGCATGGGAATCCTTCCCCACATTCTTAGACAGCAAACATTTGGTTGTGCTAAAAATACTAATTTTTATTAGTATTGTAGAAATGACATTGTCCACTATAGGGAAACTGAGTAATATTGCTTTAAACTATGTGGAATGGAATTTAGGACTAAAGGTTCATGTTCTGACCCCAGTAAATTCTCCTTAAGTCCCTACTCTCCCAACCCCAACCATTCTGTGAATCTGTGATACTCTGTATGTGCTGTACTGTTTCATCTACTCCAGAGATGCTCATGTCCAGGCAGTCGCACTGGAGTAGGAAAATTCTGTCCTCTCTTTGTGGACATACAGAGCTGGCAACATACGACAATGTTTATGAGATCCCTGCCACAGTAAGCAATTCTCTACAGATTCCTGTGTCCTCTCCAAAAAGACTGTATAAGTTAAAATACCCAACAGCTGCTTTAACCCCTTCCAGCAACCACCAAGACAGAAAGCATCAGGGACACCTGCCACTGACAACCCATAATGGAAAAAAAAAAAAAAAAAGTGTGTTGGGCTACCAAGAGGACTCTGTTTTGATTTTAATCTGATTCAGCACAGAATTATTTATCAATCACAGCATTTTTGAGACTGCTTGATTGGTTTCAATCTCTTCAGCTGTTGGAGGAGTTACTTTGCAAATCATTCTGTGGAAGCTTCCACTTTGGCTCACCAGTTTCACTCACCAGAAATTCCAGCAGCAGGGAAAAAGAACTCAAAGGTCCTCAGTGAAAGGAAAATAGTTTCACAGACTATATGGAGGGCCCAGCTGAACAGGTGACTGCACCAACACAGCTTTGTGCCCCATGCCAGATGTGCAGCAAATTCTTGGCATTACCAAAATGTATTATTTTTTGCCCCCAAAAGCGTACCATTTAGCAGCAAAGTTAGACTGTGTACAAAATACACAATGAACTCTCAGAAAACTATATAAGAGTATTTCTATACCTTATGTTTCATTTACCTGAGGTCCCCAAGGTCCTTTAGGGCCAAACGGACCTTCAAGTCCCTATGTATAAAAAAAGGAAAGAAAAAAAAGAAAGTATTTTTATTTATTAACATTTCTGAAGAAATATCAATAATTTGGTTGGATTATCAAAAATTTAAAAAACTCCATTTAAAATAAAACATATGCAGTATTAATTTTTAAACATGAACTTAATAAAAAAATTCCTTTTAAACAATATGCCAGGATTCTGCATTGAAATACCCTGAACCATCCTCCTTCAGAGACAAACCAAGTCTTTTGTTGCCCTTCTTAGTTCATTAGTTCATTATAGTTTCTGATACCTTATAGACGATAAATGCTTGTTTCATCATTATCTTTTGCAGGTTACCTAAACAAGTTTTATAACACCCCCCACCCCCCCCACCGAGATTCTATGTACAGTTTTCTTGGCTCCTTTTTTCATGTTCAGGTGGCCTTCAAAACATGCCCTGAATAATTTCCTGTTATCTGATAAAATAGTTTCCCTGGTCTCCTAACAGCTTCTTAAAAGGTTAAGATATTTTTTGCCTTTCTCATATGAGATACCAAATACTTATTTTCTTATTGATGTTTTAACTTTTTTCTTTTCTATAATTCCCCCGTTTCTGAAGAGATGCTACAAACCCCAGGAAAGACACAAAATTTCCTACGCCTTCAGAACATTACAATGTTGCAGACTAATTTTTCTTTCTTTTAACAAAATTTCTTGCTTTCCTTTAAGCTCTTTGCTGGAATACTTTAATGACTGCTCTCTAGGAATTTACAATTTACAAATTTCCATTTTGTCTTTGATATTATGGAATGTGAAGAAAAATATTCAGAAATATAATTGACAGGATTTAGTTATGATCCACATGATAAATCTGAGAAATGACAATAACACCTATTTTTCAGTATTTTTTACTCACATAAGTGAGATAACTTTTGAGTTTATCCTACATGTCTAGGTAATAAAGGCTTCAATCGTTCTTGCCCTGGGCATGCTTCTGAGTCTACGAAGTCAGACTCCTGTCTGGCATCTGTAGGGTCTGGAACAGACTCCATAGCCACTTCCAATTCCCATCACAGAGCACATTCAAAACCAGAGATGAAACAAAGGATGCATCTACAGAGCGTGTCTAGAACACATCTGTGTAATTACTGACAGGCTGGGTATCATGCCCTTTTACTAAGGTTGCCCAGTATTTCCTATTTAAGACTCCGAGTTTTGCTGTTTATAGCTTTATGCAACTTTGAAGACATAAACTGAAACTATTCATGACAGATGTCTTTCCGTCTAAATTTTAGCCAAAGCAATCCAGTCATTTCCAAGAATGCTAACAAAAAACAGGTGTTTTTCGTTGGTTAAATAAAATCTGCATCCTTAATGTTTTAGAGCAGTAAGATATACCTTGGAAAGTACAGAATTTAGGGGAGAAGGAAGATGAGAGGGATGTACTTATTGTAGTTTTTATGCAGATCTGCTGAATTTTGGCCAAACTGTAAGCCTTTGAAAAAGGTAATCTGCACCCAGTCATGAAACACTTGGAACAGGGGAAAGAACTTGCAAAGAAACAAGATAAGAGGGACTAAATGCAAAAAGGGCCGAACACGAAAGTAAGAGGCAACTGCTACCAGAAAACTTGTGTGTCACACCCCATTTCCGCAGGGGAAGGACTCCGGAATCCCTTTGGAACGCAAACAGGCAACAGCAGGCTTCAAACCGCACGAGATTTTCCATCTCAGCTGACACCCGCTGCATTTTTCAGCGTCAGTAATACTGTTCAGTTCTTCCTGCTTACAAGCTACTTCCACTAATGTGTAAAAACTGGTATCGTTGCCACTGTTAGCGCTTTTCCCACCTGCCAACGGTACGCTGAGCGACGCTAACCGTTCAGTGACGACACCGAACACCATCCCATAAAGCAGTAAGAGCGTTTTATCAAACCAAACCAGAGCGAGCGCCGGGCGGTCCCTCCGCCGCTCCGTCCCTGGTGCGCGGGGTGGCCCCTGTGTATTCAGCCGTGCGGACCCTCGCGCCTTGGATCAAAACCCCAGTTTTTCACCCGTAACCAAGCCACCCAAAGCCAGACCGCGGGTATATGCTGCCGCCCGCGTTGCGCTGCGCAGGGCCCGGAGGGCAGCCCCGCCTGCGGGGAGCGGCCGCCAGCACAGCCCTCAACGTGTCC